CCCCCAAAAGAAGGTTCAATTTGAGTAGATCTTTATCAGATAGTGCAGTTATACATTTTAAAGAATCTGCTTCACTTTCTCTCTCCACTGTCGCTGAGCAGTGCTGCAGAGTGCAAAAGCATAGCTTATTCCCCTTCACAGGTTGGGGATTTTGTTGATGGGGTTGCTAGTTCTCTGCGTATTGCCTTAGACAATGCAGCTCCTTTGAAAATGAAAACCGTTAAAAATAGAAAGCTTGCTCCTTGGTTTAATGCAGAGCTGCATACTTTGAAGCAAAATGCCAGGAAACTGGAGAGAAATTATCGCTCCACACGTCTGCGGGAGTCCTTCCTAGTCTGGAAAAATGGTTTACTGCTGTATAAGAGGACCCTTTGTAAAGCAAGAACAGCAAAGAATAAGAATAATCCAAATTTCTTTTTAATCCAGTTGACAAACTCACCCAGAGCCATAGCTCTGTTGAACCGTCCATTCCACCTGCACTTAGCAGCAATGATTTTATGGGATTCTTTATAAATAAGATTGATCTTATTAAAAATAAGATAATTAGCACTCCTTTATCTACGATTGGTTTGTCTCTGGAGGGGGGGGTGCTGGGGCAGCATCTGAGGTAGTCATGGAATCTGAACCAGGTTTAGACTGCTTTGATCCAGTTGAACTTTCAGAGTTAGCAAAACTATGGTTTTAAATATTTAGCGAATTTGCAAATTCACTTACCGAAAAGTGGAAGTGAACTACCAAAATAAATTCCAAAATGGAAGGTCCTCTTTGGAATAATTATATCTGTACATATAGATTAGTTTTAAGCAATGGGCAAATGTTTGATGTTATGTTAACCTGCGCCACTGAGCTACAGCCACGCACCTGGGGCGTCAGTGTGTTGCCATAGTAACGGCTGCCCTCTGTTGGAGGGAAGAAGCCGTCCCATTCGGGTTTATGCCCAAACTAAATATTTAATTTGCAAGCTAATAATTTATTTAACAAAGTAAATTTTTTTATAATCAATGAAAGTGAAAAAAGACTTTCGGAAAAAATAACCCTAATTTTTCTCCTAAAAAATAAATACTGCTCCTAATTTTTGACTACCTAACCTTATAAACGGCGCCTCATACAGCAGGAGCATACCTCTTGATTTCTGGATAGCTTAACCTAAAACTTGGTTAAGGTCTTTGAAGTTCGGGTTCATAGNCCAGTTCATCTGGTGTCAGCAGGAAGGTTCTATATGATTGGTTTACAGCCCTGATAGGAACATTAGTATCAACTTCATCAAGGATGATAAACGGATCAGAATATAAAACATCTGCAGCTTCAGGAGGCTCCACCCCCCCCCCCATGGTGTCAGCAGAGCTGGGTCAAAGGTCAGGTCATAATAAACAGAAAACAGATGGAGCAAACATTTCTGCTCTTCCTCTCAGCCTTCCTCTTCCTCAGAGCGCTCTCTGTTCTGCCGGCGTCACGCTGACTTTCCTGCAGTCATCTGGTTTCCTCGTGGCTCAGCCCTTCAGGGCGCCGCCGCCGCAGAACCAAACGCACCCTTCATAGAGCGGGAGTGATTCGAGCCAGTCGCATGTCCTGGTTCTGCAGCCTGCAGCTCCGTCCTCTAAACCCAGCGATTTGTTCACGAGTCAAACATCCGTCATGGATACGCCGAATTTCACACCGACACGCCGCCTCGGCCTCGGGAGCATACGGCCGCATTCCTGGGAGGCCGCGGCGTCACGATGCACTAAGCAGAGCTGATGAACAAGGTTTCCTGTCCACCGCTGGACATCAGGCCCATCCTGGTTTAAACTGGACAGAGTTCTGGTTCCCAGAACCACTTTGGACCCACTGCAGCAGCATGTACCTGTTCTGTTGCTTCACGCTCCTTCTGTTTATCTTAAAGAAATTCAAAGTTTGATCAGGAAACAAAACTAGAAAATGAAAACAGAGTTTATCTTATCTGAGAGTTGTTGGCCTGTGGGCGAGCTGTAAAGTCTATCTGTGAGCAGATAAGAGCCTTCGTGACTGCAACAAAAGGAGAAGTGAGGACAAAGCAGGCAGGAAGGTGGAAGAACGGAGATAAAAATGTAGAAAACAAACAAAGAAAGGACAAAACATGCAGCTGAGAGAGGAATAAATCCTCTTTCTGCTGCATTAACTTTCACTTTCTCCTAAAACTCCAGCAGGAACATCTGCACCAACATTCCCAGCATTCCAAAGAGGTTCCCCAGACAGGAAGTGACACACAGTCTCCTCCGTTTCTCTGTGGGGGACCAGACCGGTTCTGGTTCTAATTATCTTCCTTCGAGCTTGAGATGCTCCAGTTGAACCTCCCTCAGCGCTCCGATAAACTGAAAGTATCACTGACCGTGTGGTCCAGACCTTTCTCTCCATGGATCCTCCAGTCATTCCTCATCTGCTCGTTTCAGACCTGACTCAGGTCCAGTAAAATCCAGCTTCTAGTTAGAGTGGCTCAGGTTATCCTGAGCTATCTCTATAGTTCTGCTGCTATAGGCTTAGACTGCTGGAGGACATAGGGACCCCTTTTTC